GAAATGCATTACTTTCATTTTAGCCCATAGGAGAAAGGATTTCTTCAACATATCTTCTTAAAGTTGAGATGCTATATGATAAGATATGCAATATTTTCTAATATATCATCATCTTGATAAACAAGGCATGCAAAGCTTTATAGTGAGGTAACTTTGCTAACACAATAGTCTTTTCAATCAAAACAAAAATCCAGCAGTTTGTTGCTTACACACCACACCATTGGAACTGATTTTTTGTATTGAGTAACACCTTCTGCTTTAATAATAAAATTAGGTAGTTCCTGAAATAGCCAAGTACAGTAAATGAAAAAAACCCCTGATATTCTAGAATGTGCTTAATATTTAAAGTTCTTAGATATTTTTTTTTCTTTTTTCTTCTTCTTTGCATTGTGAAACTATTGCTATTGAAAGATGTAATTTTTTCCCTGCTGGATCTTAGAGCATGATCTCTTGCTAAGTAACTGGGAGCTGAAAGTGACAGGTGAATTCAGGAGCCATGCTGCAGTACTTTTGCTACAGCTGAAATATATTAAGGGAATTAATTCATCAAAAAGGGGCAGAGTGAACAGCCCAGTGCTCCACGTACCTGCACTTCTGGACTATTTTTCCACTAGAACTGTTGGAGAAAAGCTGCCAGTTTTTATGTGCTTTTATATAAAGCTGCCTGGTAAAGGACATTAGTCAACAGATTGACATCTAGTCAATAGATTACCCTTCTTGTTGATTCTGTGTAAGTTGATAAATAACCATGCCATGACATGGATCTGAACATTATATTTCATCCTCTGTTCTTTTATTTCCACACCTTTCCTTTTTTTTTACTTTCTCTTTCCTCTCCAAGTCTCAGAGAGAAACCATCTGGTATTTATTCCAGGTATTCTTACGAATGACTGCTGCTATCCTGGGTTGGAGGTTATCTTTTGCAGACTTACAGACTTGTAGACTCAGTAGTGTTTTGAAGTCATTAATGCTGTGTCTTACACACAGGCAGTAAGTGTTCTTCTAGAGCTGGTCCAGGAAGTTGCATAGTTGCACCTATATGATGATATATATAAATATATAATGATGATGATATATATAAATATGAAATATTTAATGAATGCAAGATTTTATTATTCACTTGTTGAAAAACAAACAACACACACCTGAGAGATGCACTAGGGAGGATCTCTTGGTAGAATATTCTGGAATTGTGATTAGTTTGAATTAGAGACAAATTAATGCTCTTCTGGCAATATACTTGGAATTTTATTTTTCTATTTTCTGTAGTTTTACAGGATTCAGAAATGAGCCTGACACCAGTCTTAATGTTGGAATTGCTTAGAACTGAATAAATAAAAGCACCAGGATTTTTTTTTTTCCCTTAAATATCAGGATTGGTTTAACTATAATAGGTTAGTCCATGTAAGTAGCATACTTTTTTAAATTAACTTTTGAAAAACCTTTGTCTTAGGTTCACCTTCTATTTTGAGTTAAAATGAATTCTGCATATATGCATTATGTACAGAACGAGGGAAAAATAATCTGCTTTCTGGTAAAATTTATAAACTTTACAGTGCTACTGAGCAATTTTTTATCCTTATTATTCAGAACAAATAATACAAGTGCTGGTGTTCAGTTTTTGTTTTTCTTCTCTGAAGTCACTTTTAATTGACAGTTTTTGTTTTACCTGAAGAAATTTTTTCAATGATTAGATAAAAATGTGAGGAAGAAGACAAGTTCAGGTAATAGTTAAACTCAAAATTATGTAGGTGCTGCTCTTCAAAGATATTTAATTATTAGTAGTTGTAAATAATTGTGTAGTGGAAGATTCAAGAAGCAGTGAAGCAGGCTAGATATCCTCTTCCCTAAATTAAGTATGAAATATGTTTCTAGTCAGCAAAATCCTGCCTTTCCTTCAGTTTACTATATACAAGCACTTCCTTTATTTGGTAAATCTGATAGTTTTAACAGCAGAGCATGTTTTGATAAACTCTTCTGGCTATGATTCCAGAACATTTAAGTTTCATTGTTATTAGTGGTATTAACTTTAGAATGCTGCTTTCATCCACTATGAATTCCAGTTTTCATCCAGATGCAGATCCAAAGGAAAAACTATTGTCTTGTTAAATAAAGAATGTGCCATTCACCATTTTATAATGTACTGAATTTAAAAATTAATAATCAAAATAAATGTCTGCTTAATTATGCAATTGCTAGAATGACTATGAGAAATATCAGCTAGGAAAATCAGTTTATAAAAGTTGAATCTGATTGCAAACCATGTTATATAAACCAACTGTAGTGATCTTTTCTTCTAGAAATTAAATATCCCAGTGCACAAGAACATTAAAATCAGCTATATAAGTTAGCTTTCCTGCTTTCTTTTCATAGAAGGATAGAATGGTTTGGGTTGGAAGGGACCTTAAAGATCATCCGGTCCAACCTCCCTGCCATGGGCAGGGACGCCTCCCACCAGACCAGGTTGCTCAAAGCCCTGTCCAACCTGGCCTTGAACACTTCCAGGGAGGGGGCATCCACAACTTCCCTGGGCAACCTGTGCCAGTGTCTCACCGAAAGAAGAATTTCTTCTGGTGAAAGAATTAGGAAGAAGAATTTCTTCCTAATAGCTAATCTAAATCTACCCTCTTCCAGTTTGAAACTTTTACTCCTCATCCTATCACTACATTCTCAGATAAAAGAGTCCCCCCCCAACTTTCCTGTAGTCCCCTTCAGGTACTGGAAGGCTGGTGTAATGTCTCCTTGGAGCCTTCTCTTCTCCAGACTAAACAATCCCAACTCTCTCAGCCTGTCTTCATAGGAGAGGTGTTCTGTCCCCCTGATCATCTTTGTGACCCTCCTCTGGAGCTGCTCCGACAGATCCATATCCTTCTTAAGGTAGAGGACCACAGAGCTGGATGCAGTACTCCAGTTGAAGTCTCACAAAAGCAGGCTGGAGAGGCAGAATCACCTTCTTTGACTTGCTGGTCATGCTTCTTTTGACATGTGCCAGGATACAGTTGGCCTTCTGAATATGAGAAAAAACTTTTTTACTGTAAGGGTTGCGGAGCACTGGACCAGGCTGCCCAGAGAGGTTGTGGAGTCTCCTTCTCTGGAGACATTCAAAACCCGCCTGGACGCATTCCTCTGCAACCTAGTTTAGGTGATCCTGCTCTGGCAGGGGGGTTGGACTGGATGATCTTTCGAGGTCCTTTCCAACTCCTAAGATTCTGTGATTCTGTGATTCTGGGCTGGAAGTGCACATTGCTGGCTCAGTGCTGAGCTCCTCGTCAACTGACTCCCCCAAGTTCTTCTCGTCAGCACTGCTCCCAGTCCATTCTTGTGCTTGGGATTTCCCTGACTCATGTGCAGGACCTTGCCCTTGGCCTTGAACTTCATGGGCCCAGCTCTCAAGCTTGTCAGAGTCCCTCTAAATGCTATCCCTTCCGTCCAGTGCGTTGACTGCACGACACAGCTTTGTGTCATCAGCAAACTTGCTGAGGGTGCACTTGATCCCACTGTCCATGTCACCAACAAAGGTGTTAAACAGCACTGAACCCAGTAGTGGCCCCCGAGGAATGCTACTTGTCACTGATCTCCACTTGGGCATTGCGCTGTTATCCACAACTCTTTGAGTGCAACCGTCCATCCAATTCCTTATCCACTGACTGGTTTATACATCAGATCCGTGTCTCTCCAGTTTAGAGGCCAAGATGTCGTGTGGGACTGTGTCAAGTGCTTTGCACAAGTCTAGGTAGATGACATCAGTTGCTCTTCCCTTTATCCACCAATGCTGTAATCTCATCATAAAACATCACCAAATTTGTCAGGCACAATTTGCCCTTAGTGAAGCCATGTTGGCTGTCACCAATCACCTTATTTTCCATGTGCCTTAGTATAGTTTCCAGGAGGATCTGCTCCATGACCTTAGCAGGCACAGACGTGAGACTGACTGTCCTGTTTTATTAATTTACAATTATAACCAGGGTGATTGTACATCCCTTGTTTTGCTTTTGGCCAATCCGCCTTGATTAGGTATGCATTTACACCCCTACAAAAGCCTTCTTGACCGGATTCCTAGATTTTGGTGGTACTTTGGAGATTTATGCTGTCTAAGATTTTGATCTTGGAATAAGTCGAACTGATAAATGCTATATTGTGAAGTCTGTACTTCTGAGCGATGATTTCGGGTGAAAACTGTATGCAAATGATTTTAATTCTGTTTCTGCTTAGAAACTGCTTGAAGTCCAGCTCTTTGTTCCAAAGATAGGTTGGCATCAAATGTTTGGACTATTTATTGTTTTGCCCATGCAGTGACAGAAAGCCTTCCAGTGCTGAAAGACTTTAGTTCTTTCATAAGTAAAATTAGGAATATTCTTTATGTTGGGGAGAACTTTGTATCTTTTCCAATGACTAATAGAAGTTTTAACTTTGACTGCTATTTTTTTACCTCTTGTGGCAACTACGTATTCAGCCATTAATTTAGTACTGATTTGAACAGTGTGTCTTTGAGGGCAGCCACTGAGGCAGTATCTACGCAGTTATGCGAATGAGATCTCAATCCAGAGCCAGCATCGTGATCCCAATGTTGTAATAGCTGCAGCTGCTTTTGAAATCTTCCCAGTCGTACATGCCTTAGTGCAGCACTGAGAAGGTTTTAAAATAGATTCATCAAAACTTGTAAAGGCAAAGTGGCAGCTCAAATAATAGCCTGCTATATGCAGTTTCATTGTATCTGTCCTTATTAGATAGGGAATGTGGAATTTTGTCTTTTTATTGGTTATGTCATACATCTCGGGTAATTCATCTTAGCTTAGGATGTAGGGCATGTAGGAGAAATACTTTCAAGGAGGAAGTCATATGATGGCCATGTCTGCAATATCAGCTTGGCATTACTGTTAGGGTTAGGTTAGAATTTGAGGATCTAACTAGTTAGTCTAGTTACAAAGATTCAAACATTTTGGTATGAAAAGAAATGGTATTCACCTTGTTAATTCTGCCTTGAAAATATTTCCTCTTAGACTTGGTCAGAGCCGCCCATCGATGGTCTCATGGATGAATACTCCATCTGCAAACCCGACTGCCACAAACACTGCACCATCCACTTTCTTCTTCCCTAACCCTGCCACTGGGAGTGACAGAGCAGTGGAAAGGTATGATTTACACTTCTACTTTTACTTTTTTTTTATTTGCTTCCTTTTTTTCTGTATCTTTTCAAAAGTAGCTAATGCATGTCTTCTGCAGTATGTGAATGATTATCTCAAATCAAGAAGATCAACCTTTGTGATTTTGAGAGAAAAAATGTCTACTTTGTCATATTTTTGCTTTGACCAACACCTTCCTTGTAAAAGGCACATAGCATGAGCCAGTGGCTTGCTCGTTAATACAAGCAGACTTTGATTTGTGTGGTTAATTAGGTCTTGATAGTGTCTCTCTACTGCAGTGATTCTCCTACAGTGTCTTTTAAGATACACATTCTTTCTTTTCCCTTTTCTCAACGTAACCTTCTGCCTTTGAGAGACTTTAACATGTCTTTACTTCTATCTGTGGTTTTCATTCTGTTATTTCACTCTTTTGGCCTGTTCTTTGCCATCCTGTTTCTGCTTCCTTTCTGCTTCCTGTTTCCATTGTTTCCTTTGAAAGTCTTCACCATCTCAGCTTTCTCGTTCAAGTTTTATAATAGTTGCTTTGCAAATTGAAGTAGTTGGGTGCATTAATAAATTCTTTCCAACACTTGGTAACAAAATTCCATTTGTCATTACTGGTCTGCATTGTCTGTTTGACTGCAAGTTCCTTGGGGCAGGGAGAATCTTTCCCAGTGTTTTATGTGTAGTTGTTGTTGCCTGGGCTCAACAAAAGATGATTTTATGGTGCGGGTGCTGTGTCTAAACAAAGCATCATTGGGCAGCAACAAACTGTCAGTTCGCAAAGGCGTGCTTAAATACGACGTGCCAAAAATACTTCGGTGTTCCAAGATCTCTGCTTATGGTACTTGGAGAAATGAGTACTTCGAACAAATTAATGTTGATGGCTTATTGCTGAGCATCCTGAGAACACCTCTAAAAGACTGCCTGAAATGTTAGAAATCTTATTACATTTAGGACAAAATAGCATCTTCAGTAGTGTAGGAATGTTGTATTGTAAACATATATAAAAAGATAACTGTACAGTGATAGTGAACAGCTGAAATGTAAGATTCATGAAGAGACATTTCAGAAGACATAATGGCGATTAATCTATAAATTAAGTATAGTATACTGTGCCTACTGTTGATTTCATTGCTGATTAGCACTTGGCAGTATTTTAACTGTAGTTGAGAGTCAAGTTTAGCTATTATAAAAACAAGTGTGCATAAAGTTGGGAGTATGATATTCAGAAATGCCAGTAGTAAGCTGTGAAGCTTCAGCTTGGGCATTTGGTGTGTATGAATTATAAGCCTGTAATGATGCATGTGAGATTGTGTTTAAACTTTTAGTCATCTCTAAATGAGACTGGAGAAAGAATGGTTAAGAGGAGAGTGTGTTCTTAATAGTCAATAGGGACTCTAATTCTTAATTTCATTTTTCAGTGTTGCTCACCGAAAAGCAAGAGCAGTTTATCCGTGTGAAGCAGAACATAGCTCTGAATTATCATTTCAGATAGGAGCAATTTTTGAAGATGGTAAGTACTGCTGAGTAAATATAAAGCAATGAAAAACAATTTGACAAAACTGGTAAAATGGCTTTGGATAAAAGTGCAAGCCTAACTGCTATTCTGCTAATGTTGTTGATGGCACATAGTTGATGATGTAGATTTCTTGTGTATAAAAGCTACTTAGCATATATGAAGTCACTGTGAGGCAGTACCTTTGATTTCTAGTGAACAGAAACTTTGAAATGGTCTAATTCTTCAGCACCATTTAAATGTGTTGTAGTACCAAAAAAGTTGTTCAGCAATACAGAAAAACATTTTGGCCTATGAAACATTCTTAAAATGTGAACTGTTGTAAAATAACATACAAACTTTCATTCAAAGAAAAAAAAAATCTGTTTAAGGATTTGCAAGCCAGCAGAGTATCAGGTAAATCAGATAATCACTGGAGAGAAAAGGGATTGTTTACTCTTTTGATTAAGGGGAGCCTTAGTGTGCGTGTACTTGTAGAAAGAGGAATGAATATTCACTGAGGAGCTGAATGAGGGCCTGTGTTTAAAGAGTTCTATGGACCCAAATATAGTACTACATATGAAAATCTAGAAAGTGATTCCTGTGCTCAAGACTCTGTTGCTCCTCAGTGAGCTTCCATGGCTCTACTCTTCAGCAAATGCACAGGGACTTCAAACTGACAGGAATGCTTTTATTTTTTAAACCTCATGGTGACGACTACTGTAATACAAACTCTGCAGATGCAGAAGACGACATTAGAACATAGTTTCTTCCTATTGCAAGGAATTCCTCTTATAAGAAAGAGATGGTATGGAATAGCTCAACAGGGCCTTGATAAATTCAGCAGTTCTTGTTAATTGAATGCTATTTAATAATAATTCTAAGCAGAAATTATTTATAGCAGCAGTAAGGTAACACCATTGTTTGTTACACGACCTTGATAAAAAAATTGCATAGATACTAAAAACCAGAAGACTCTCAAGTTTGGCCAAATCTTCATCCAAGTTTTGTGCAGACTGAGGGATTCAAAATTATCTGAGAATTATGTTCTTAAGAACCTTGTGAGTACTGAGACCAGTATTTCTGTCTTTCTATCAGTCTAGAGGCAGGGAGAAGTAGTAAGAGGCACTCTGGCCTCTAAAGAACCTGGAAATTCTGCAGTGATGCCTGTTTTCCTCTCAACCATTGTCAGCTGGTAGCTTGCTACCAGGCCAGAAATCTGATATGCGCTTTCCAGAGGAAAAGTGGTATTTAACTCTGCATGACCAAACGCACTTAGGGGATGCACTGCCCAGTCATTCAAATGCCACATGTAAGATTCTTGGTTTTCATGTCCAGTAAAGGAGAGGTGTATTCCAAATTCTTAGTTTACATCCAGCAGGGAAAAAAGTACACAGTCTAAAACAGATGGAAAACATCAACCTGCAGGCATTTAAGAACATATTTAAATATCTCTTGTATTTCCCAAAATGCACCCTGTTAACTCTGTTAGCACTGGATCAAAAGTGTGTGTGGGAAAGTTTTTTATCATAAACAAAAATCTTTTGTTCCGATGCTCCTCAACCGCAGTAGAATGTTGGTAATTTTTTAACAAGCTGAAACAAATCAGCAGCTCAGCAGAATCTTATATTTTTAGCATCTGTAACAGCAACAACAAAATCACACAGACACAGAGATCTTCTTCCTCTTCTTTGTGATGCCTATTTTAAAGCAGACAGAGCAGAGGACATTAGTGTCCTCTGCATCGTCCCAAACAATTAAATAGTAAGAGTGGTCCAACAGGCTTTGGTTCTGGTTTGGGGTTTTTTTTGCAGTGTCAGGTGCTCTGAGTTGTCCCGTCAAGGTTCCTTCCTACTAACAACCACTTTATAAAATCGTACTTGATATTTCCTATTAGAGCTGCCTTACAGACAAATAACATTTAAATCAAGATAGGTGGGAAACCTTTTAAAGATGAATTAGCTAAATGATTGCTCTTTTTAAAGTATCAGTTATTTTAATTTAAGTTTTTTAAAACATGACTGATAGGGATCTTTAGCGGACATAAAACTGTACAGGAAAATTCTGGTACATGGAGGAAAAGATCTGATGCATAGAAAAGAGTCATTTCAAATGCAGAAGGGCAATGGTTGCACACCTGTTGTGTTGGCATGGCATAATAAAGTCTTGCAAGAAACAGTTGCTTCTGTATCACACATTTGTGTGAGAACATGAAAATTATTTTCTTGTGTAAAGAGATCTCTAGAAGTTATGGCAAAGCTACAGTGATTTTGGTGAGTTACTACCTCAGTTGAGTTTTTCAGCTAGAGAATTGGATTGTCCAAGAAAAAGTACTCAATTCTACTCTTTGGCAGCTTGTAGAGAAATATTTCAGATGTAAGACTCTTTGTCCATATCATCATACAAATAAGGTTGAAAGCCTGGGACAATGTAACACGGATTGCATTTTGAAAACCTAATCGCAGATTTCCAATGAGAAAGATCACGTTTCCTCAAATACATTTGTGTTGATTTATTCCGCCATATCCTGGTTATTTTATAGGCATTGTCCTTGCCCCGCAGGGCTTTCACCCTAACATAGGCTGTGGATTGGCAGAAAAAAGGAGAGCATGCAAATAATAGTGCAGTAACTGGACGTACATAATAACTTGGTCATTCTGCAATGGTTCCAAATAGATTATGTCATGGATGGCTCTGTCAGTATAGAAAGTTATTCTCATTTAATGTGCAGACCAGTCTCCATGTTCGAAACCTCTGAAGTGCCTTCACATAGGCCTTTTCTTTTTGTGCCAGGCACCCCTGTGTCTATGCTGAGATCACATTCCAGTGAATCAATTCAGGTTCCTTAGTTACTCAATTTAAATTCCCATATGCCCTAATAAAGCCCCCAAATGAAGAATTAAAGTAATAATACATCAGTTCTGCAGCTCTACCAATAACCTTACCTATCAAAGTGACAATGCATCAATCAAGTTGACATACAGCTAGTATCAACCATTAAAGTAACTGTTAAATTAATGTCTACTAAAAAGTGCTGCTTCCATTAGCAAAGGTTTTATCCGTGTCTCCTTTCTCCATGCTGCCTATCTCACTTTGCTAATCCTGTCTCTCTCACCTCTCGCTGTTTGTTTGTTGAGTTTTTTCCTTTCTCTTTCCTCTTCTGCTGTGTGTCCTTCTATTTTTCATTTCCCTTCCCTGTTCTTCTCCTGTTTCATCTCTCTTGGTCCGTAGATGTTGATTGCAGCAGTTCTCTCTTATCTGTTACTATCCTGGATGAATCTTTCTGACTGTTTTACCCTGAGACAGAATAATGCCATTTAGTCAGTCTTGCACCTGTCATAGCTGCTAAATGTAATGTTGGTGCAGGAAGGTAAGAGTTTAACCTTTGTGCCTGTCTCCATTTCCTGTATCTAAATGGGGAAAAAAATATTTGTTTGTGTCTCAGGCTGACAAGGTTAAATTCACTAATATTTTACATTAAGCTTTACATCACCTGATAGGAATCTGTATAGAGTAGGAACGTTTGCACTTTTGGATGTTTTCAATAGTGCATGTATGATGTACTACTGCAAATCTCACTATCTTTCCATTAAAGTGTCGTGGAATATAAACACTAAGGTGCCATATGGTAAGTTAAAAAGAAAAGGCAAAGTTTTCTATTTAATTGAATTGTGTAAGAAAATGAATAATGTAATCTGAACAATATCCACTGGATTTTTTTTTTTAAACCTTCAATTCAATTTACCTTAGTCTGTGCCAATATTTTTATTTCCCAGTTGCTAGAGAGTATATTTTTGACAGCACATAACAATATAATTCAAGTGGTTAGAGGCAAAGCTTGAAGAGTTTGCAGCTGGATAAGGGCACATATGGGAAGTAGCAGAGTATGATCTGAGATTCTGAGAGACATATGGTGGCTGTATATTTTGTTGTTGTTGTTGTTGTTGTTGTTGTTGAAGCAGATATTCCCAATAATCATGGAAAGACTAATCAGACTGCCTGGCATTGAAACCTTGCCAGCCTTGGAGCCAAGTATTATTAAATTTCTGGTTCTTGAAAAAGACTGCTTAGAAGTCAGTAAGTAGGAATTTCACCAAGGAGAAGTGTTTTATGTTTTATATAGGGTAAATGGTGTTTACACAACAAAATTCCTTGGCACTGTTGCTAGCAGGAAGGCTTCCTGAAAACCTTTCAAGATAGCTCTCATCAAAGCTCTTGACAATTTTAAAAATCAGGTTTCAGGGGAGAGCAAGTGTTTTGCTATAGTAGTTTTCCTCAGAAAAGTTATGGCACCCATCATCCCTACCAAGTGTAGCAGGAACAAAAAAAAGCTATGTTCACACAGCTGTTGTCATCCCCCTCTACCTTTCCTAGTGTAACAGAGTGCCAGCCTTAGTCTCCCTGGTTTTAACTCCAAGGTGCTCTCTTTCCTCTTATCCATGCTGTGGCTTCTGGTCTTTCTTTCTGTATGGTATTGACAAATGAAGGATTTACATCAAAGAGAGGTAGTACTCCCAAAATACTATATTGCAGTGTATGGGCAAATAATTATTTTGTTGAGGTAAAAATGAGGATAAAGCTGCTTCTTCGTGCTCCTTTGATCTGTGGATTTCAAAGCACTTGAAAACATTAATGTGTATTAATTATCTCCATTTTCCACCTGGAGAAACTGAGCATACAGGCTGTGGACAGACATTCTCATTTTCAGATACCTGCGTGCCATTTGGAGGTAGTTATCGCAAACTGCCGCTGAAAGTTACAATCACAGCTTTGCCAGTGAAAAGTACCAGATGAGCACTACCAAATTCCTACTCACTTTGCTAGAAGTTTTAAAAAGTCACTGAAGGTGCTCTGATTTTGACCAGTCTGACTTTGCTCCTGCCAGCAGTATTGTGGAAGCAGTGGTCTCTGGAAGAGAAATCTTAGTGGAAAGCTGAGTGTTAAAATGGGAGATGTTTAAACTGCTGTGTTTTACCTTGTAGTTGGTGTGTGTGGAACTGTCAGAGATGGTCAACTGCCAGGTGGGATGGGCATCAACTCAGGAGAAAGACCCCAAGTCTCAATGTCTACACATGTATACACAGGGAATTCAGCAGCAACTCAGCTGATCAGCCACTTGCCTCTATTTTAGGGTGAGCCAGATTATTCTTAGGGCACTCTCTCATTGTATTGACTAGATCTTCACCAGCTATAATAGGAGCTTAGACACTTCCATAAGGGAAGTCTCAGTCTGCAAGCTGAATTCCACCTTCACTAATTTGTCATAGTGTATCAGTGTGCTTGCTTGCGTTCACAAGCCTGAGCCCTTATAGGCAGACTGTTTTCTTTGTGGTCACACAGTAAATCTTTAGCAGAGGCAGGAAGAAGATCCCTTGACTCCTAGCCCTGTGTCCTGTCCGCAAGATCGTTCTGCTTCTCACAACAAACTTAAGGGAATTTTACAATTTCAAATTCCATGCTAACCCTGAGCGTGCTAAATGTACGTGTATTTCTGTGGTCAACTTTACTCATAGGGATTGTTTCAAAAACCCATAGAGGTTTCAAAACACAGACAGCTTGCAAGCACATTTTGTTGCTTTAATTTAATTTCCTGGTGAAAAATTTGCCAGTGTGAGTGAGCTCTGGTGTTGTAGTGGTTTTAGCAGTGAAATTTCTGTTGCCCACAAAATGCAGTCCTCATCTGTGTAGTTGGTTGGGGTCATTACTTTGTCTGGTAAAGTAGTCCATCGGAAAAGGAGGCCCTCTTGTACCAGGCACCATGTATTTAGATTTCCTCCCCCATTTCTGTTTCTTCATGAAAAAACAAGTTTCCACAAAGGTGGAACTTTGCTGCTATTACCACTGTCCTAAGAGGTGATGGCTTTTAGTGGTGGTTCTGTGACTGGTCTTGTTGTGCAGTCTTGCAATACACTTGTTACACCTTGCAGAAAATGTCTAATTTTTAGTTCTTTGCTCCGTATCTTTTACAGTACTAGTATATTCCCCTTGTGTCCCTATTCAACATCAGACTAAGTCCTGTGGGATGCTTGGTCCGATAATAAGTTGTAGTTTTAAGGCCAAATGTGTAGTTTCTGCAGCAAGGTATTTTTAAACGAAGCAGGCCTGAGAAAGTGCTAAGAACTGTAATCGCTGTTGACTGAGAAGAAATGACAGAAAGGGGACACTACAGAACATCTCTTGAGCTGGGTATTTTTTTAGAAATAACCCATGTCCTGAGTTTTAGAAGAGCTGTGAATGATAGCAAAATGCCTTTTGTGTGGTAGTGTTTTTTATTCTAAATGAGTGCTGTTGTACACTATACTTTGGAAATGGATTAGCAAAGGAAACAGGATCATTGGAGCTTAAAGCAGCTTTACATTTGGACAGCTTCCCTATTAATATAATTTGCCTACAGAAGTAGTCAGAGATGCATGTTGGTATCTTAACCCTTCTTGCGTATGGTGATTTGCACGGAGGTGGAAGTCTGAACCCTATGTGACAGTCCCACAGCTGCTGAATATTAAGAATTACTTTTTGGTGTGCTTTTTAGAAAACTACTGATCTCAAGAAATGGTGATCTTGGGTGTAAACTGAGTGCTAATTCTTTCTTCAGTCTTCATGGAGTCTACAGGAAACTTCTGCTAACAAATAATGAGGCCCTGAGCTGTGTAACACACATGTATGAGATTTAATTTCCCAAGCAGAGCTCAGTTGTACCATCCATGTCTAGTCTTCTGGGGTGAAAATGGTATTTCTCACTCAAGTCCAATTGCTTGGCCATTGTGCATTAAATCTGAACATGCTGCAATGTGGAGAGTTCAGTATTATGTTATCAAATGTGTTTAAAACATTTTTATTTTGAAACTTACTGTTGTGTTGAGCCAAGTGATTCAGCATAGTTCAAGATTTCCTCCCCTGGGTAAATTTTAGGTAAATTTAAATTTCAGTGTGATACCTCAGATGAGGGCTACCCTAATTTTGAACAAGCCTTTGATTTATAGACACTAACATGCCAGTAGTATCTATGCTCTCTCTGTTGTGAACTGGCCCAAACGTTTAGGTGGAGCTCCAAAGGACAAGTAGGAATTTCCTACTTCCAGGTTTTCTAGTTGCTATTCTTCCTAATGTGTCGGTTTTTTTGAGTTTGTTTCCTGTAATGCAGATGTGTTCTGTAGGCACAGGAGCCGTCAGGGAGAGGTTTGGCTGCCCGCTAGAGCTGTTGGCAGGTTTGCTGGAAAGGGTAGAATTACAGCTGCTGCGGCGCAGCTTCTGGAGGGAGGTTTGTGGCACTGTCAGCATTGCAGTTTCAAATGCATGTGTACTCTGTAATTGTGGAATAAAAATGACAAAGGAAGAGGAGGGCCTGCTAATTACTAATAGTAATGTAAGTTACTGTGTGTGCAGGGATCCTAAAAGGTAATTTTCTATGTTGTTTTTTTTCCCTTTGGAATCTTTCTGTCAAACATATTAATTATAAATATAAGCCCAGACTTTTGTTCTGAATCTAAACTATCAGTGTCATTGGAAAGCAGTTCTGTTTTCTGAATACTGTGGAGGTACAGCTATTGTTTAAACTGTGGTTTCTGAGCACAGCTTCTAGCTTCACTGACAGTAATAGGACACAAGCAAAACTAGGGGAAATTGTGTTTTAGGTGCTCAAATTTAGAGCCTTACAATGCTTTTGAAAGTGAGACTTAACATGCTGCTCTCTCTTAACTGTTATTTCCCTGATTTGTAGAAGGCTACAAATATCACATTCCCCAATGTGTTAACGTGTTTTAAATAAAGCACTGACATGGCTGGCAGCATGTTTCAGCATTTGTCTGAGCTCTTCCCTAAATAGTGTCTGTCTCAGCAGCACTGTGAGGATAAATTAATATGGTAAAGAATATCGTAGGTTGCTAAAAGTGTGGGATTTTACAATTACATAGGTAGGTAGGTACCTGTACCATATTCTTACAAGAAATTTGAAGGAAAATTTGAGGACTCTCTAGTCTGTTTTCAAAAGAAATGAGGCTTATGTTTCTTTTTTAACTTCCTCTCAAATATGGTCAAAACAAAGACAGGAGGCTAAATTTCGTGAGTTCTGTTCTCATAGAGTAACTTGTGGGGCATTTAGAGTCTGAGCTGAAATTTTACTTATTTTAAATTCACAATACTCTTGCATAAACTTTGGGCTCAGCAGTAGCAGGATGGCAATAAGGAACAAGGCTTTCCTTCGTGTTTTGTGAGTAGCACAATGTATTTGAATTTAAGAATTTAACCAGACAGCTTACTCAGATTTTTGTCCATTGGTCTGTTCCAGTAGCAGCTCTAGTCCATGAGGAGATGATTCTTGGAATGACATCTGGCTCATTTCTATTTGCCTTATAATCCTTTACATACTCATTTTTCATGCAAAGTCCTATACTATTTTTCAGTAGCTCTGAGCTTCCAGATTCATCACCTCTGCTCAAGACAGACTTTTGGTCATGCTTTGCCCCCAGCTACTGAAATTTTCCCACTATTTGATATGAATTCTAACTTCTCTCCAGAGGCACCTAGATTTTCTGTTTTATAAAACCTTCCTAAGTTTCATTGACTGTTTTCTTAATGAAGTCTCCCAAACGTCAAAGCTATTTCACCAGGTATACTTAGGAGAAGATAGCTCAAGCACCTATATTATGCAAGTATTTAAGTTAATCCTCCTCTTCATCTTTCCAAGACCTAGATTCTTAAACTGGTCAATGCAGAAGACCGGATGTTCTTATGGATGCTTTGCATGATATCATGGAGCTAAAGCTAAAAGTACTAATTCAAGCATAAAAACATGCAGTAATTGTTTTTTCCTTGTCTTTTGCAGTGCAATTTTCCAGAGAACCAGGATGGCTAGAAGGCACACTAAATGGCAAGAGAGGACTTATTCCACAAAATTATGTTCAGTTCTTATAGCTCTGTGCATTGAACGCCAAGAAGGTGTACATGGTATCCATGGATTTTTCTTAGAGTCACTTCTCTCTACTTTAGTGACTGCGTTTAATCAATGAAGATCCTGACTATGGGTTGAAGATCCTAATCTGTATAAAGACATAAAGCGTTGCCAAATATGAATTACAAAAGAAGATTCTTTAAGGGCTGGTATGGGGAGGGGGGAGGCAGGAAAGGGGGGTGGAGTGATTAATTTTTTATATAGGGTGCTTTTTCAGTTGTAAAGAGCAGTAGTGGTATGTTTGTTTGCAAGATAACTAGCATTTTAAGTCAAATATTTGGTTCATCTGTGACTCAGCTATCAGTTGAAGAAGATTTTTATAAACTTAGTGTCCTGGAGATTATGCATCAATAACCAGCATTTTTTAACAGAGTATTATTTGGGCATGAAAAATACTGTTGGATAAAAAAAGCTGTCATGCTGACAATTAAATTCTATTTCAAAGTAGAATAGACAATATGGAACAGACACCAGCAAGTAAAATAATAGATTTCAAGACATGACATTTTTCAAATGTCTTCAAAGAGCACATTCATTTATGTTGTGTGTGTGATTTCATTTGTTTTGTAAAGGTAAGACACATGAACTTTTATTACAGGCTCCTATATGTCACGGTTCCTTTGCTACTCAAGGATATCACTGTAAATGAAATAAAATGTTATTTGCTATTTGACCTAAGTCATTCCAAAGTTGGAGAATATTTTGCTCTGGTTCTGTAAGTTACGATGTGAAATAATTATTGGCAGCTCTATGCAGTCACCCGCAAGCAAATGGATGGGGAACTTTCCTCACTTAAAAAAGGCAATTCTGCAAGTTCAAGGCAAAAAAAAAAAAAAAAAAGATAATCGTTGGCTCTGATCCTCATGCATCCTTGAGGCATCTTGCATTTTCTCTCGCTGGCTGGCTGGCTCCTCCTTGAGCTTCCCTGTCTTCCCTGTAATTGTTGATTGTAAGGTCTTAGTGATGCTTTGTAGTATCAGAGTCCTCAAGTAGCTGCCTCATAATTTGTAGAACTATTTAAGTAGGAAGAGAATTATCTGTGGTCATAGAAAAAACTTCCAGAAATCTTGTGGTGTATAAATCTGTGCTTTGTGATTTAAAAAGAAAATGAAAAAAAAAAAAGTGCAATTCCTTGTTAGTCTTTGTATTTTTCTCTTCTTGAAGTAAGACCCTCTGGGAGGCAGTAGAGAGGATGCAGGAAAATATGATGGGGTAACATGCTAATAAAGGCTCACTTATTTGTTAAATTGGACTCTGGATTTTAGGTCATTTACTGCAGATATACTTAGCTTGCAAGTTTTTCTAACTAATGTGATTAGTAAACCAGTTAATGGTTAATGCTGCCTTAATGTTGGGATGGCTTTTTCTCCCCTTAGGATTTAACTCCATACCATTATTTTGTTCCTTTGCCCAGACTGCATAGACCATTGGAGTATGCACAAATCATTTCCAGATGGAGCAGTGATGGGCCAAGTCAGTGCAGCTCTCCAGCACTAAACCTCACAGCTTGGAGGCATTTCATTTGGTGTATTCTCATGGTGGTTGAGCAGTGACTCTCTGCCATATAGCTTTTAGGCAATTCTTGTCTTGGCATAGTGGCTAAGTGACCCAAGCACTGAGGATTACTTTTGGACTTCTGTGAAGATCAAGTTCTTTAATTTGCTTCTTGACTCAGTATTAAGTAAATAGTTGCACCAGTGCGTACAGAAGCAGATTGCAGGTTTCCTTACGCTGATTTGTCCACATGGCAAAGCACTGTTCTGGTTCGGTATTGTGTCACCTGGGCCCACAACTAATTGGTGGCCGTAATGAGTCATTCTGGAGGCAGCAGGGTATTTGTGTGGCCAGGTTCAGTCTTCATGGCTACCAGTTGGTGAAAATGGTGAAAGAAGAGGGAGAATGTAAATTTTTGGTTTGAGCCTGGCAGGTGTGGCAGTGAGGTATGCTGGCTCATCAGGTAGTGAAGCTGTGATAACTCAATGCTTACAAGCTTTTTAAGTCACTTCCATTTGTTTTGTTGTGTTTTAAACGTGCAGTGCATGTTGGATCTTGTTCTGGCTGCTGCCTTCCAAAACTCTCAATGTATTTCTCAACTTTGCCTCTGTGGTTTGGTCTAGTGGGTTTTTGGTGGTGTTTGGTTTCTTTTTTCCTTTTAACTGAGGTAGTTTAAAAAGGCAGATTTTATATA